ACCTGGGGTATCCCGGACCTATGGAATGGTCCAGACTAATCTCCAAGGGGAGGTGCAGCCCACGGATGGACCCTCTCTCCGGGTATTCAAATGGGTTGTTAGATAATTCCCATATCCGCGTGGCCACATGACAGAGTGTAGTGGGGTGCCTTCGAACCCAGGTTGGTTGTCCTTGTATGGCTAAGAAACCTAAAATAAAACCAAGAACAAACCGAGATTGCATGGCTAGGGAGAAGCAAAAACTTTGAGAATAAGAAAATGGGGGAAAGAAGAGAGATAATATAATTCATAAAAAATATCTCTTTTTTTTTTTTCTTTTAGTGTTTTAAAAAAGAAAAATGGGGAAAGAATATGAATATATACCTTCAGAAGCATCCCAAGTATCATCGGCGGTGTTGGCTGCAGGCGAAGAGGGACCACTCATTTTAGATTTAGAGCTGTGTTTATAATCTGGATGAGTGAAAGAGAGAAGTTGATTGATTTGATGCTAATGCGGTCTCCTCTATTTGAGTATTTATAGACGGGTTAAGGAAAAATTGATCTTTATTTCACCAAAACAAAAACCCAGCCTAAAAAGCAGTGTAATTTAAAACACCCAAAGTTTCTGTTTTATGCAAATTATCCCCATGGACGGTGGTTAATTCTGTTCAATGATTAACGGAGTGTAAAACGCACTTATAACAAAACCACGCCGTTTCAGATTTGGTCTCAAGAACAAAAACAAAAAAAAAACAATCAGCTCACGGATTCACATTGTTAATTTAAAGCGGAAATTTCGATTCTCCTATCCAATCTTTGTGTAACCGATTGAATTAATTTGAATGAGAGATGTCAACCAATTAGACAATTACAACACAAACAAAGAAGACACGTATGCATAACCTAAATTTCGTAAGCATATCAAAAATACTAACAAAGAAGAGAATTATGCTAGATGCCAATTTGCTCTGCTATAATTATATTTTATCTTTGCAAATAGTGAAGAAGAGATAAAAAGATTTCAAAAGTAAGAAGATCCT